ATGACCGTAGCGAATTGTGTAAAAAAATGAATGTGCTTTTCCGTGGTTTTTAATGATCCAGTTTGCTCTTACTTTGGGATCTTTTGATATTTTATACCACGATTTATCAGTTAAAATGAGCGAAAGTGGGAATCTTGTATTTATAAATATTAATTTTTTTATTTCTTCTTTTTCATTCATTTTTTTCTCTCAAAAAAAGAGAATATTAGGTCATAATTTATATATATTATTTTTTTAGATTGTGTGATTTTTTAGTCGTACGACTTTAACATATTTTTGTTCATTTTATTACGTGATTGATTATTATGACGTGACATTTATTTTTAAAATTAGTGCATATAAAAAATTTGAATGTTGTCTGATTTAAATATGATCATTTTCCGTGATTTAGTATTATAATTAACATATGATTATTTCTGCAACTTAAAATTGTAATAAATAGTGTGATTTTTTTGTGATTTAAAAATACTAATATATATTAAAAGTCTTGTTGTTTGTGGTTATATATTTAAAAAAAATGTCACAACTATTGTCATCTAAAAAGCAAACTTTATAGCAGCACAATATGGGATCATACATTTATTATTATATTTATGTTATTACTATATATATATATATATTTTCTTTTTTTTGTAGTAAAGGGCAATTTTTTCAATTTTTTCTTATGGTAAAAAAAATTTTTTGTCACTACAGATGAGATTTTTTAATTCTGAAAAATGGTTTCAGCTTGCAAAATATCCATCTACAATGTAACATGGCCATATTTATCAATATTAATGTACTTTCATATTGAAAAAGTGCAATTTTCGTCATAAATTCTAGATGGCTACTTAATGCCAAATTTAAAAAATCAATAATAAACAAAAAAAAAAATAGTGTTGTTACGTTATAGATAAGATTATTATTAAATAAAACACTTTGCTTATAAACGTTTTAAGATTTTGATCGTTAAAATAAGAAAATCGCCTTTGCCATAAACTATTCTAACCAATCATACAGATAAGATTTTTATTTCTAAAAAATGTTTGAGCTTGCGAGGCATTTTTCTGTAACACAATAGAGTCACATTTATGAATATAACATTGATGTATTTCATGTTGAAATGCAATTTTTGTCATAAATTCTAAATAATTGTCAATACATATAAATTTAAAAAAAAACATATGAAAACAAAAAAAAATAGCGTTATTACATTATAGTCAAGGCTCTTGGAAATTAAAATCATTTTTCAATTTTTTTATAGCTATTTTGTCACCAAAGTTATAAACGTATTAAGTTTCCGGTTGTTAGATTCAATTTATTTATTTAATTAAAGAAAACAAATTTGCACAAATTATTATAACTCATCATACAGATGAACATTTTTAATTTGAAAAATGTTTTGAGCTCGCAGAACATCTTTCCACAATGTAACAGAGCTATAATATAGTCAGACTCCTATATAATCACTTACTATGTAATTTAAAAAATTTGGTGATTATAATAAAAAAACAAATAAAATGACTAATTAAAAAAATATTCCAGTTTTGTTTTTTTTGTGTTTTTGAAAAAAAATCCTTCTTTCAATCATTTTGCTGTTCAATATAAATGAGTAATTTATTGATTGCCCCCAAGGCATCATTGTCGCCTACAATAGCTTCTGGTTCATCAGTATCCTCATCTGATTCATTTACTTCATTTAAGATCATCTCAATTATTTCATCTTCATTTAAAATCTCTTCTGTTAAAGTTGATTCATTATTGTTAATAAATTCCAAAACCAACAAACTATTCCCAATATTTGGCTCATTTGATAATTCACATAGCTTATCTCTATTATTTTGTTCTTCAATCATTTGATTATTAACTGCTTCGTTGGTTGTTTCTTCATTTGTAATTGATAAATCTCAGTTTTGTTCCAGCAATTAACAATTGTTCTTTGTTTAACAGCATCCAATGTAATCAACTGCTTCTTTTATATTCAATTTTCTAAATTTAAATTTTACTAGAATAAATGTAAATTTTGTCTTAGCTCAATTTTTTTAATAAGATCACAAACATATAATTGTTTATACTTAACCTAAAATTTAATAATTTAGTTAAATACTTTATTCAACAAAAAATATTAATTTTATTATAACTACACTCACCTTGAAATTATTAATGATGCCAGCATCCATGGGTTGTAAATGAGCAGTTGTGTTGGGTGGCAAAAAATGAATC